AGATAGCATAAAGATCAGCATTTTCTTGCGTTACACAGCGGGTAATTCAGTGCGCACAAGATGGTGTCATTTGTCTGCTTGGTTAGCCAATCACTGCGCCGGATTTGGTTCTTTTTACGTCGGTGCTCGTGGAGCCAACCATATAAAAATGTTTTTTTTTTTTTTTTTACCCCCATCAGGGTATTGCTTCTTATTTCTGTCGATAAACCAACTAGGATTGTTTCTCGTCGCGAACTCCGTACTCACTTCCTGAAGTTCTAGAGAGGAACAAAAAACGAAATAACGGGAGCTTTGCTTTGCACACAGCAAGCAAAAAAGAATCATGCCTGAAGGTGTAATTGGCCTTATAGGTTTTGTGTAAAAAGTGAAAGGATATTACGCAGAAATAAGTAACGGCGAAAAACCTAATGGGAAAAAAGCCGGAAGTTAAATAATGGTAATACGACTGAGTAGAGTCCAACTCGGTCTGGTATCATAAGAGTGATAACAAAATCAGACGACCGCGCAGCGGAAGTCCGATTTGTTTATCACGAGTGTGATTACAGACCGAATTGAATTGAAGTCTTATTACCAATTAATCACAAAAATTACAATTTCCGAGAAAAGAAGAATAGCCAAGTTATGAAAGAAAGGGAAAATTTGCATGAAAATACTTACAGAGAAGTAAACATTCTAAGACCACCGCACCTCCTACCGGCAATTAGGCGCCAAAACCACAAAAGCAAGCGCGCGCGCGCACGCACGTAACTACAACTTTGAATGTGATTGGCTGATTTTAACTACAACTTTGAATGTGATTGGCTTATTGAACTGTCCGATAACAAACTGTCCAATAACAAACTGTCCAATAACAAACTGTCCAATAACAAACTAATCGATAACAACTCGGCTAGTGAATTAGTGGAAAATAGGAGTTTTTAAACAAATCAAAATCGAGGGAATTGCAATTTTTATGATTAAACGATATATAGAAACACTTCTTTGATTTCTATTTTTTTTTTTTTTTAAATACGATCCGCATCATTACTTACATTGCTTAGAATACAGGTCTCTTACTCCACTGGCATTACAATACTCTACTTACAGACGAATACTTACTTACTATATGGGTTACTTACACTGCTAACAATACAATACTCTACTTACATTTAAGTGGCAGTCCCGCTAAAAGCGGTCCACTCGACTTCGGGAAGATGAGTTGAATCTGAGGATCACTTCCCAGCTCCGGTCGGTTTTTTCTCAAAGTGCCTTCAACCAGACGATTACACTATACGGAATAACTCTCTACTCTGTTTCAAGCTCCCACAACGAGAGCGATTTAAGTGGCAGTCCCGCTAAAAGCGGTCCACTCGACTTCGGGACTAAAAATACTTTCCCTTCATTTTTTGTCAGTGGAAAGGGTTTGACACATATATATAAAAAA